ATCTTCTTTATGCACCAAGAGCTTGTAACACTCCAAAGAGAAAGGAAAAATTAAAATCGTATCATATGACCCCTTTAAGCCAAACTCGCATTATGTATGGTAACTTAAAGGTGGGGTAAGCGACAAATCCCCTACAGAAAACTGCTGCACACGCCCCTTACTGCTGATTGGCTACACGTTTGTTTTGCTATTCGGCCCGAATCAGTTTTCTAAAGCGTTTTTGAAAAATCGCTTACCCCACTTTTAAGTAACTCAATTCAAAGGAACGATGTTTCGTTCGTGAACAAATTATTAGTGTTTTTAAATAAATCATTCATATTCGCTTCCATACACTCATATTTTTCGTTCACTTAAAATCTCTGCCTTTTGAAGCACGTGACTGATTCCATGTCTTAAATGTGTAATTTATGGTTTTGTGTGATGTGTCAAAGTATTAGCAAAGACTGACTGTAGCAAGAGCAAATAGCATTTGAGTACTGCTGTGAAGGAGCATCTCATTGGTTGGAATACTGAACAGATATGCCTACTTCAATGAACGAGTCGATCTTTTAAAGTCTGAACGAGACTTGGAGCGGAACTGGAGATGTTCATGAATGGAATTAAATACTGGGACATTTTGAACTGAATAACTGTTTTGTTGGGGAACGAAGATCTGTTTACCGACTGAACGAGAGGGGCATGCGTTTTGTTCAGTTCGGCAAGAAACGTTTCGGCGGAATTATGAATGTGTAAAAATAACATGCTTAACAAAACTAAAGGACATTGTGTAACTTCTTAATTTACTGTAGGCAAATATTGTGTTTATTGCTACAACAATAAAATAAAATACAGTTTGACAAAATGTAAGAAAAGTAAGTTCTACTGTGTTGCAATTCGTGGGGAAACCGCTTATGATGCTTTTTCTGGAGTTTTTAACTAAATCTGTAACCAGTAAAGTTTCTATGTCGAGTGTTGTTTGATGAATCGGTTCAGAAAACGATTCACTCATTAGGCTACATGCACTCTCGCTTGTCCCCACCTAGTGGAGCAACGATGTAACCACAGAGATGGGCACTGAATGAATTAGTGAACGAGTATTTGTGAACAAATTCCACTGCAAGTCCTTTTTTGATTTGTATGGGTGGGCGTGGCCACATACATGTTGCAAGTTACAAAGAAGAGCCCGCTTGGAAACGTAGCTGTGGCCGTCTGCCCTAATGAAAAGAAATATGTCTGAATTCTCGCGATCAATAGTTCTGACCACCGTTTAATCAAACACAATGCAAATGAATCCAAGCGCTCTTTCCGCCAGCCCATTTTATCCTTTTAAGAGGCGGGGGATATAGAGCAACATGTGCAAAATGATCTCATAATAGGCTACACTGTCTGACAGAGAACGGAGCGCTAGAAACTTTTCAGAAAGCACAGATTATCCCAGTGTTTGCATCTAAAATGGTATCGATTAAACGGTTGATATCTCTGTTCTCTGTGTCTTGGGAGCAAACGCTCATATGTTTGGGCAGTTTGGTCATTACACTCTTCATTTTGCTGGTAATTCGCCAGCTCGTAAAACAGCGGAGACCCCGAGGGTTTCCCCCAGGACCGACACCTTTACCCATAATAGGGAATATTCTGTCCCTGGCCACAGAGCCTCACGTCTACATGAAGAGGCAGAGTGATATCCACGGACAGGTACGCATGACACTTCACTCTCAGTCCTCACTTTTATTTACTTGCACAATCACATAATATACAGTAGACTTGTCCAGTTTTCGGCATTTAACGTTACTTTTGTTTTGGTTTTGCTGTTTAAAAAGTTAATTTAAGCCAACACATGATAATTAGTAGGTTATGTATAATAGCTGATCGCATCTCACTCTCACGGGTGCACTGCTGAGCGGACTGAGGAGCAAGGAACGGAGAGAGACGAGGAGTACAGCAATCCAAATGTGTTTAATTCTTACAAAGGAACACGGAACACTCACGCAATACATGTAGACATAGACATGACCTGAACAATACCGGACGCTGAACTCAAGACAGGGAACACTATTTAAACACTTGACAGGATGAGGAGGGGACGAGACACACCTGGGATCAATAGACAACTGCTGAGCGGACTGAGGAGCAAGGAACGGAGAGAGACGAGGAGTACATCAATCCAAATGGGTTTAATTAACACAAAGGAATACCGAACACTCACGCTGTTAGACATGAAGACATGAACAATACCGGACCCTGAACTAACACACAGGGAACACTATTTAAACACATGACAGGATGAGGAGAGGACGAGACACACCTGGGATCAATAGACATAAAACAGGGAACACCTGGAATCAAATCAACCTAATCAGGAAAGGAGCAGGAAACTAACCAAATATGGGCATAGGAAGGCACATGGGGAGCAAGACACACACAAAACATGGAACAAAGTCTGACACTCACATCCTGTCTTGTAATGAATGAAGCTGTCCATAATGGAATCGTCCCTTGGTGCGACTTTAAATTAGTTTTTAATTTCTGACGCGCTGCAGAGTTGCTCCAACCCTTTATTGCTACTATGCTATCAACTGTAGTCGTTATTGTTTAACCTCCTGAGACCCTTTTCCTCATATGAATACATTATATTTTAGTGAATTTCTAGCCGCAGATTGTGCCGGTTCAATATCAGTATATCATCCAGGTTCGTTCTCTTCCAGTGTATATGTGTGCGGTTCATAATTTTAATTGAATTATACACTGGGAAGCCAGCATTACATCAGCACGAAGATAAAATATGAGCACTTCACCTCATATTTCCTTGGCTGGCGATGGATAGTTTAGACACCCTGCAGAAGAACTGACTTAAATGCTTTATGCTCATGTGGAAAGAAGGGGACATTGTGTTCTTGATGTTTTTAACCTCCATGTTAGACACAGGAAGAGATCATGATTGAAGAACTGCCTGAGACGGAGTGCTGGACTAATAAGATTACATCATCTGGGGCTGGTTTTAGATGAGTGACTGTTTAGTTGTGTCCTAACAAGCACTTGGCCTCAGGCTTTTTCAGGTGAGGAGGAAGGTACACTGGGTATTTCTACACTGCTATGAAACTGTCATCCTGGGTCACTGCATCAGACATCGCTTTACCATATGATTGATCATTTTGAAGGTGAACATGACAGGTTACTAGCTGACTATGAATACAGTTTCAGATTGCTCTATACAGGCAAGGCTATACTTTATTCTTTACAAATATGCACCATGGTAACCATCGAAATACCATAGTAGCTTTCATAATTTTTCTGACATTTCGTTACCTAGCAATAGCTGTGGTAACTATGATATTTCACCACAAACTATGGTTACCCTACATTTCTGAAAAGGTTAATACTGAGTTTGAAATATGCTTAGAAGATTTTAGATTGTTTCCTGTCATTTTAATGGTTAATGATAGTATCTGGCAGCCCACATTTGAACTAATAATAATAACAATGTCTCAGCTATAGCTGGCTAACAATAATATTTAGTTTGAAAATATTTACACTAACCTCCTGACACCCTGCATCCTCATATGAGGACATTATATTTTAGTGAATTTCTCTGAGACTATACATGCCACAGTCTGGATGTCCTGTACAGAGCACATTCAGAGATATTAAATGTTTCACTATGACCACTCTCTCTCCTTGGTCTTCAAAAATGTCTGATATTAATTTAGTGACACTCTTATGGAAATATGATAATATTTTGTAATCATTTAAATCTGACTAATTTTTAAACTGTGTCATAAATCAACATCTCAGGAAAATGTTATGGGGTTTCAAATCAAAATATGTTTGATATGATGGTTAAATAACTTCTTACCGTTGTAATATTTATACCGAAATAATACTTTGTTTCATATGTAGTTGTAGCAATATGAACATTGAATAATAATAATAATAATGTACTTATCATCAGTGTTGGGGAAAGTTACTTTTAAAAGTAATGCATTACAATATTGCGTTACTCCATAAAATAGTAACTAATTAC